TGAGCTAATTCAGTAAACTTGGCTTCATATTCAGCCACTGACATCCTACCTTGTTTGAGTTCTTGGAATTTAGAAACTTTTCGATCCCAAAAGCACTAGGGAAAGTACTTGTTATAGAAGATCGCATTAAATTGAGCCCATGTCGTATTTCCATTACTATTTCGAATCAATAACCACTATCTCTGGGCTTCATCTTTCAGAGGGTAGGTGGCCAAAAGAACTTTCTAAATCTCAGAACAGGGAAACACTTCGAATAATTTCTCCATTTCCAACAACCATGTTTCAGCCTTTAATGGTTCAAGACCACCCAAGAAAGTTGGCGGTTTTATCTTCATGAATTTCTGAGTCAAGTTGATTATATCATTGTTGTCTGGCTCATTTTGTGCTGCTGGAGGCGGAAGGGGGCAATGGTTATTACCTCAATTGTTATGTCATTGCTTCTGTCAGGGCTGTAAACATTTGTTCCATACGACTCATGCGACCATCCGAGGATTCACTTACTTCTTGCATTTTCCATGATGCTATAGAGAAACAAGGTAATAATAAACATAGGAATAATCTTGTTCATTTCTTTCAATTTCATTTGTTCAGGTTCACATTCAGTTTTCACATTCATAAAGATTATCACACACTCACACATGCAGATGAAATGCCCCTAATTCTTTTCTAGGACATCTTATAGCTCATATGGATTCGTGTGTGCAGTATAACATGTGGTCTGGTATCACTCTGTCAAGACCCAAACCTGCCCTTATAGGTTTAGCGTCATGACTGGCCAGTAATCATTAGATTACCAAAGGCCTCTTAACAGAATAACATATAATCAGGGGCTGCGGAAGCAAATATACATACATAGTCCATAGAGTTGTGTTGACATATATGGGATAGAAATTTCAAACTATATATCATAGGCGTGACACCATAATTACGATAGCTCATGTCATATATATATTACATATAGAACAAAAAAGGACTTAGCCCACTATACAGGTAAACAAACAAACAAATATCTTTAGCGAAGTTCATAAAATATGACATCTCAAAAAGGAACCTCCCGGGGAGGCACGGTGGTTGGCTAACCCAAAACTCGTCATGCAGCACGCTTGCTCACCTACATACATAACATAAATAGTGAGCGAATGCCCAATGAATAATAACAGAGTAAAGGGTTTAAATGAATGACGTCCCTTACTAGATTCGAAAAACAGATTCATATTTATATTCTCGTTCAAAGCACAACAGAAATCAGATCGAATACAGATTCATATTCACATTCTTCATGCTTGAGTAAACTTGGTACATTCAATAGTGCTAACAGATCATATATAGAGCATTATGGGTCATACTTGTCAATTCTATAAGGAACCTCCGGTACTGAGAACAGATAACTTATTAGTTCCATAAAGGATCCTCCAGTACTGGGAACGAATAACTTGTCAGTTCCATAAAGGAACCTCCAATACCGGGAATAGATAACATACTGGAACCATGGAATTGTTGCCACGAGTACTTATTAGAAACTGGACAATCATTCATTGTACAGAACATAACATTTCTTAAAACATGTCTTATTCCATATACAAAAAATAAATAAAGTTGAACATAGTTTTACTAAGTTATTATTCACAATTGGCTCCAAAGCAAACAGATAGAGTAGGCAAATCAGATGTCTTGTGGCGCGTGACCTACATAGTTACAGAACGAATATGTACTGAATTACACTCCCGGAATCATTAACTTAATCTTTTCTTATCTTGGTGTGTTTCTACTTCTTGTCCTCATTATTATGTCTTAATCTTGGCCTAGGAATGCCTAGGATGCAATGAGGATACTAAAATGTACTTGGAAACATTTAACAAAACTTGATGAAAATAGGGGTCCCGCTCGAGCGCAACTTCCTTCGCTCAAGCAGACATATGAAAATATAAGTGGTCGCTCTGTAAAAGTACTGGTTGCTTGATTTTTCCGCTCGATACTCGCTCGACGGTCGCTTGAGCATGAGACTCAGGTCTTCGCTCAAGCGCAACTCTTGTCGCTCAAGCGGTTTGCAAAGCATGGAAACTTCTGGGAGCTTGCATTTTACGCTCGAGCGGACTTTTAGTCGTTCGAGTGGAGATGTAAAAACAAAGGTGGCCGCTCAAGCGGCTGATCTGTCGCTCAAATGGAGAGGTCGAATTTTGGGATTTCCAAATTCACCTCTAAGCTTCCAAACTCAACTTCAAAGCTACAAAACTCATCCTTTTGGACCCAACACTTGAGGAAACACATTTTAACTTGGAAAATATTGAGAATTCAAGATCATTTCATGAAATCAATGCCCAAAAGCATGCCAAATGCTCAAGACTAAGCTCAATTCTTTGAAAAACATACCATGCATGTTTTATTTTGACTTCAAAGCTCCCAAAACATGATCAATTGGTATAAAATGATACAACACAAGATGACCTCTCAAAATAAAGGTAGACTTAGTACATGCATGTGAGAATTACTTGAAATTTAATTCAAAATGTAAGAAAATGTGCATGCATGCATGATATGGCTCAAGTTCACCCATTCTAGTTCGACACTTGCATTACTCAACTAATTTCTCTTGAATTTGTGGTTTAGACATCATAAGTATACAATTCAAGGGTGGAATTCCTACCTCAACTTCTTAATGGAGCTCTAGTTGGTGAATTCTCTAAGATTCCAAGCCAATTTCCTTGAATTCTTTAGTAATTCCTTCCAAGCTCTAGTGTTGATCTCAACCCCCTTGGTCTCTCTTCCTCTCTCTCACGTTTGTCTCTTGAAGGCTCAAAGATGATGAGAAAAATGGTGACTCAAGTGGTGTGTATAGGCCTTATATAGGCTTTCTTAGGACATTTATTAATCTTAACTTAAGCTAAGCAATTGACACTAATTATTCTATTTTAATGCATTCTGAATCGAATTTTAATTAAACTGACCATAAGGTTCTAAAAATTCTAACTAGCACAAAAATCAAGTCAATTCCATGATCGGATGTCGATAAGGCCTTCAATTTGTAGAATAAAACAAAAACAGAAATAGACATTTCCGCGCAGAACAGATAAAAACTCATATAGCACATAATACATATAATGAATGCAAAATTTCACCTTAATTACTTCTTAAGCATTTTTAATCATGGATTATACGTTAATTAAGGGTCGGGGTTGTTACACTTATCACGTAGGACAAAATGTATTGGTGGGAAACATAGATGATTTTTCTCTCTTACCCTCATTTCGTAGTCGTATTTTTTGTCACATGATTAGATTTTGTTAAAGATTTAAAAATGGAGTAATAGGATAGGGACCAAAATAAGATTTTGAGTAAAAGTGTAGGGGTTAACTATCACAATTTCATGTGTAGGGACTAATGTGGGAGTAGACCAGAAGTGTAGGGGATTGGCTATCATGATTTCATGTGTAGGGGCCAAAGTGAGGTTCGATGCAAAATGCAAAGGTGCAAAGTGTAATTAATTACCTTTTTTTTTGGCTAAATTATGACAGTAGTAGTACTTGTATTTTAATTTTTGTGTTATTTTGGTTTTATAATTTTAATTGATTCAATTTTGAGTTTGAATTTATCAGTTTGTTGTCATTTGGTCAAAACTGTTAGTACTTTTATGAAAAAAAATAGACACATAAATGGCATGTACTCATATTTTTAAAGATAAAATTATAAACTTATTAAATTTAATGAGTTAGTGATAAAAAAATTTCAAAAATACTACCGTTATTATCAATTAGACAAAATTGACACAAAATTTAAAATAAATGGTCAAATTTGAAAAACTAAAATGACACAAAAGATAAAATGTAAGAACCACTGGTGTAATTTGTCTTTTCCTTTTTATGTTTGGTTTATAAATTGAGTAAGAAATGATGGAGAAAAAAAAATTATTAAGCATATTTTATTTATCAAAAAAATAATAGTGAAAAACAAGTTAATTGTTTATTAAATATTTATAATATTAATATTGCCTCCTAAATTTTTTTTTTTTTAAAAAAGGAAGAAAAAAAAAAAGAAAATGAAATCTAGTTCATATGTGTCTCTCACCTGCTTAATTTTCTTACTTATTCAAACATAATAATGAAAAATACAACCATTTCTTAACTTTTCCAAATTTTCAAAGGCAATCTTTTGAAAATTTTGAGACAAATTTCATGACATGATTTAATAGTTAGGATCACTAATTTTTTTTTAATATAAAATTTAAATGATATTGTACTCTAATTAAGGACAATTGCAAACTAGTAAGTTTGTCAGTGATCCCACAATTATTGTTATGAAAATGTTAATGATTGTGGGTTATTTTTTTTCAAGTTTAAATTTGAACTCTAGAGATCTTAAGAGAATCGTGAGGTATATTATGGATTTCGTTTCAATAATTCAGACTATTTATTTTTGTAAAGTTCTCTGTGTACATCATTCATTAAAAAGCTAAATCAATCTAATAATTGCAACATTTTTTTCATTTTATCGTATTTGTATTTTTAAAAAATAAAAAACAAGTATGTTTGGTTGTGTTTTTATTTATTTTTGTTTTTGTTTTTTCTGAAACATGAGTGCTCTGGGTTGCTAATATAATTATTCACTGCCAAGCACTGGGATACAAGATGCATATACTGCATTGGTTTTGTACTGCATATGTGTGAACCAAACTTTGGAAGAATAATGACATACAAATACAAGAGTAATGACACTGTTATATTATTCTTGTTTCCAAAATTTTCCCAACAACTCTTTATTATATATGTAGTATACGTACAAAAATTTTATAAACATATTCTTTTCCTTGTTACTATAATGGTTTTAATAAGGTGACTAGATTATCTTTGGAGAATTTGATTCACTCTCATCTATAAAGATAGCATGCCAACATACCAATTTGTTGTCGATCAATGTTATTTTTTAGAACATTAAAGGATTTTAAGGTATGGAGCAATAATGTGTATCACTGAGAGCCACAAGGATGAACAAAAATGGATTATGCATTAAGAAAAGAAACATTGCTAATGATAATCATTAACTACTCAACTCAGTTGAATTAAACAATTTACTTATATATATATATATATATATACTAGCTATATATGCTAAGCTATTTTATTGTATTATGATTGAGAATAGGTTACATTTCTCCTAGATTCTCTTGACTACCCATTATTTATGCATCCTTTTGCTTTCTCTACCTTACTCTATACAAGATGTAGGCACATTCCGCCGTTGCAAGATGATGGGGTACCGCTTCTGTGTCCTTGTGGTTGGAAAGAATACCAACTTATCTTCTTCTGCAGGAACCCAACTGCTACCAAATGCACCCGAATGGGGTTAGTAAATATACAATTATAAATAAATTGGAAGACGCACAATAAATATGGATTTGAAGATGCAAATTGCGTGTACCTGAAACGAGTGACTAGGTGGTGTAGAAACACTGAGAGTTCAACCCTAGCAAGCTCAGCACCTGGGCACCGCCTTGGCCCTCCTCCGAATGGGGTGAACAAATTTACCGAGTTTGTTGTTCCTGAATTGGTCTGTTTGTCTAATTTTTAGTTAAAACTTCTCATGAATTTACAACAGAGAGAGAGGGAGGGAGAGAGGTACCTGCCATCTCCATGGATTGAAAGAGCGAGCATCCTTGAAGTGGTCATGATCCATATGTACAGCCCGGAGCGAAGCAAAAACCTTCCATCCTTTTGGAATTGTGTAACCTGTTTGGATACATGGAAATATTAACAATTTATTGCAAAAATCTAGTACCCTTCTCTACTAATTTGTTTTACGAGCAATACTATAAACCTAGAAAAAATAATCGGAAAATAAAATGTGTGAGCCAGATTTATTCCAAGTATGTCTCACACTAAGCAAATTTGAATTTACACCATATACTTCATTTTTAAGGTATTTTTTTGAGGATATGTAGCATTTTCATTGTTTTATGGTTATTGTTTATTATGTGAATAATTACCTATGTAGTTAGGCTTATGTAGTCCAATAATATTATACAAAAGTGATGTCTAATCTAAGTTATCTAAACATTTTGTTTACACTCATTAGTTATTAAAAAAAAATCAAAAGCAAGAGAGCACATGCTATGCATCACTTTTATGATCAAATTTGAATAATTACCTACATGGCTAAGCCGAGTTTTTGACATAATTCAGGAAGATTACAAGTACCCCTAATGTTGACAAAAAAACGAAAAACGCTCTATAATTCTTCTATTGTTTGGAGTACTCTAGCTATAGATTATATTATGAGTCTCTAAACCGAGCACCCCTTCTCTTTTCTCTTCCCTTCATAAATTCCAAATCCAAACACAACGTTAAGTCATTGAATATTATACACAAACACAAAAGGTATTTATAATCTTAGATGCAAACAATAGAGATGTTTACATGTAGACTCAATATATAACAAAAGCAACTTTGTAGAAGTAAGCAAAAGTGATGTCTAATCCAAGTTATCAAAACATTTTGTTTACTTTTCCACGATTTATAAAAGAAAACCAAAAGCAAGAGCACATGCTATGCGTCACTTGTATGATCATTACAACATTCATTTGGAAGTCCACATTGTCATATAATGGGATTTTTTTAGAAAAAAAGAAAAAGAAAAAAATGATTACCTTTGACATCAACATCCATAATTGCTCGCCTAAATACCCCACTTATTATATTGGCTACTCTTAGAGTTTCATTAACAACCTGCGGAGCATATAGAAAAATTAAAAGTTTTAAACAAAAAGAAACATCAATGACAAAATTAAACTATTGATGATGTTTTACTTACACATTGGGTGAATGGCATGGACTTGTAATCGTTCCATTCTAGAGCCTCTAAATTGTCTTTTCTTGCTCTAATCTCATCATGCTCTTCCTGCAAAATTATGAGGACTATAAATGTTGATTAAGAGAGAATTCCAAAACTTGACATTGGTATCACCAAATTTTCTACTTATCATTGAGAGGGCTATGGAGATTTATATATTAAGTCATGGCCGATGCAACTTGTGTATGTGCTTGTATCTTGTGTAAGTGAAATTTTGCTGACAATCTTTGAAGATAAAATTGTTAACCAATCATTTGATGCAAAGGATATTTTTTTATTTTATTTAAAGAAAAAAAATTGGGGGTAAAAGATGCACTTCAAATAGGATCTAATTCCACTCTATTTTGAGTTGATGAAAGTATTGAATCAAAAAATAAAATAAATAAATAAATAAATTTGACGAAAGTAAAAATTAAATTTGTCAAGAAAAATAGAAAATAAGGAAAATATAATTATATATACATACGTATTTTTATGGATAATTAAAACCCTAACAAAATACTAATCTCTATTCCTTTCTTCTTATTTTCTAAACCAACCAAAAAAGAACAAAAAATTACCTTCTTTCATTTTCTCTTCTTCTTTACTTTAAATTTAAGATTCAAGCACACCTTTAGTGATTAATGATAGATTATTTTTTACTACTATCTACTCTTTTCTTCTCATTTTTGTAAACCAAATAAATTCTTTTGGTAGATTCAATATTCAGACATGAATTTTTTTAGTTAAAAAGTCAAAAAGTTACTAAAAAAAAATTAAAAAGCCAACAACCCATACTAAAAAGTCAAAGATTTCATTTTCTCTCTACTTTTTGCACATCTTTTCGTAAAAAACCAAAAAGTCATCCCAAACATACTAGTTTTTTTAACATTACATTTTAGCCAAAAAAACCAAAAAATTACTAAAAAAACATGTTCCCAAAAGAGGCCCAAACACCACATGAGGCGTAAATAAAGATCTCATGAGTCATAATTAAAACAATATCATAACTAAAGAACAAAATTGGTCATAACTAAATAAGAAAATGACATAATTAGGGATGATCTTTTTCAAGGGATTTGTATAGTAGAATTTCCCTTTTTTGCATTACACAGAAAAACTAGTGTGAAAGTAAGATCAGCAATTTGGATAAAGTATTCTATGAATATCACAGAATACTGGCTTAATGATTTTGTTTTCTTCTTTGGAAGGAATTAAGTCCATGCGCCTCAATGCTCTACACTAATCTTGGTCTCTTTTGTAGTCTTGGTTGGGCACTCAGCCAACCTTGTTTGTAATCTTGTCGTCTTGGTATGCACACGATTGGACTTATCAGTAGGTGCCAACATAATTGGAATGTACCGCTCAAGTTATGATGCAATCACTACCGGACTTATTTGTAATAAGTTATTGAGTTATTAATAATACTTCATTTTCACTATACAAATTAAAAAAAATAAAAAATAAAACTAAAGAAGAAAATGTTATAATTAAAGAAAAAATGACATAATTATGAATGCATATGGTACACTCCTTTCAAGAAGTGTGTATAGTAGAATTCCTCTTTTTTGCCTTGCACAGAAAAACTAGTGAAAGTACAGTACAATTGTTGTGCCACATAAGAAAAAACTTACTTTGATAGATGGCAACAAACATTAAATTAAAATTGAGCAAATTACTATCACGTCCCTGAAGTTTGCAAATAATACAATTTGCTCAACATTTTATATAATTACACTGATATTCATTTTAGTAATACTAAAGTAATCAAAACTAATGCAAATAATGGGTAGACACGAAAATAAACAAACATACATTATTTTTTATCCACACAGCTAATAAATTATAGATGAAAAATAATTTTAGAGCAATGTTAAATCTATTTAAAATCTTACTAACAATTCTACTAAAAACCATTCATGTCCAAATATCATTGGATGATTAAACAATTTTTTTTTTTTTGACAACCATTTGCATTTAACCACTTGCATTTTTAGTAAGGTAATTAATATATGTAGAATTATTTATAATTTAACTGTCATGTAAATTAAAGTCTCAGGCGAGACCAGACCACTGTAATTATATAACAAATACGAGACTAATTGTAATTTTTCTTCGAATCATAAAAGACATAAATGTAATTTACCCAATTTAATTTGTTATCCTCTTCAAAACATGACAAATAAGTTTAGAAAAAAACTAAGTATTTAAAAATTATAGTATTTTAATTTTCAATTTTTTATTACCAACTTTGCAAGGGATATTTTATACCGTCCGATGCCCACTTTCTTTTAAAACGATCTTATTTTATTAAAATTTATTTAGGCTAAGTTTGGCATGTCCCCAAAAAGTCAAAAAACTAAAAAGTTACTCAAAAAATTAAAAAATTATCATTATTCACCAAAAAAAAAAATATTAAAAAATTAATTTTTCACACAAAATTACAACTCAGAATCTGACATGCTCAGCTCTATTGATGCGTTTGTTAAGAAAAATTGCACAATTTGGATGCAATTTTCACACATTGCTATTCGGCTCGTGAGAGCCCATCACGGGTCCCGTTTTGATAATCTGAACCGTTCAATGTGTAGAACTCGTCGAGTACTATATGTCTGTAAAAAAGCACATTGATCGGATATCGATAACTACATGATCAAATCAGTTTTGTATAAAAAAAATAGATGGTGTTATAATTAATGATTGGAAAAAAAACAAATCTGATCATATAGCTATCGATATCCGATTAACGTAATTTTTTTCGAGTGTATAGTACTCGACGAGTTCTACACATTGAACGGTTCAGATTATCAAAATAGGAGCCGTGATGGCCCCCACGAGCTGAACAAAACTGTCCAGTGCAATACCCGAAAAGTAGCCAATCATTACTTAGCATCAATCACCCTCCCAGAAAGTACGGCTGCACAACTCTTAATCCTAATCTTCCCCTACACACTAATTTATACAATTTTTTAATACATATTTTTCCATAAAAAATCAAAAAATTAACCCAAACAATCATATTTTTTTCAACTTTTTAGTCCAAAAAGTGAAAAAGTGCACTTATTTAGAACACTCCAAACAACCCCTTAGTAGTCGTGGAGTAGAATTACGTGATACAATCCATAGTGTTATACTAGGTGATAAAAATAAGAAGATAAAAATAAGAAGACAGTGTTTGGTGATTGATAAGTAACATTGACGGAGGTGTTGATTGACGGGGTGTTGGACCACCAGATTGACGGGGTGTTGGACCACCAAATAAAAGAAATTTAGCCAAAAGGTTTTGGCAGGTTTTGAACCTGCCAAAACCTCTTCATTAGACTCTTATTTGATGAAAAGAACAATTCAATTTATTTTGCTTCATAAACTCCCTAAGGTAAAGGCGAATAATTAAGTAACCCCTTAGTAGTCGTGGAGTAGAATTACGTAATACAATCCATAGTGTTATACAATCCATAGTGTTAATACTAGGTGATACAAATAAGAAGACAGTGTTTGGTGATTGATAAGTAACATTGACAAGGGTGTTGATTGACGGGGTGTTGGATCACCAAATAAAAGAAATTTAGCCAAAACCTCTTCATTAAACTCTTATTTAATGAAAAGAACAGTTCAATTTATTTTGCTTTATAAACTCCCTAAGGTAGAGGCGAATAATTAAGTAACAACAAAGTAAAATATCATTTTTTTTTGTAGAATAATATTATCAGAATAACATATTACTGTGAGACAGAGTAACATGTTACTATTTATATCAATTTCGAAGGCAATAAATTTTTTTTTTTTTAAGAATTTTATAGTCAATATAGATTTTGATGAGAAGATTTTAAAAATACAAATTTTATTAAAAATCGATATTTAAATTAAAAGTTATAGTATTTTAAAGTTTAATATTTTGATAATGTATGTATAAGAATTTTTAAAGAAAACTTTTTATATTTATTCTCAATGCATTAAAATTTTATTATGAAAGAGTTCAACCAAATCCCTAATAAATTTTTCTATTTTAGCGTTCGTTTGGCATGAGACTAAAATGGGATTGGGTACTAAAATAATTACAAAAAGATAAAATAGGTTAAAAAGTGAAATATCCAAATCATAATTATTTTATTTTTTTTCTCACAAAAGTCAAAAAATTAAAAGGCCCAACCCAAATAAAATTTTTAACTCCAAATTAAAATAATAAAAAATTTAAAAAGTCAAACAACTAACCAACTTTCAAAATCAAGCCTTAGGCCTTGTTTAAAAGCTATTAATTGGCTTTTTAAGCTAAAATTTATAAAAAGACAAAATAGTTAATAAAATAAAATGTCACATCAAATCCATAATTATTTTACTTTTTCTCTCACAAATATCACATTTAGTTATAAAAAAATTTAACTATTTTCTTTAATCTCCTAAAATAACAAACTTTTCAAACAATGCCTTGATAACCATAGGTTCGAGAGGAAATGCACACAAATAATAACTACAACGACGTGGCAAGTTCGTGACCCCGTTGACACTTAAGCCCACACGTTTAGGCATCATTAGAGGGTATTATCGTCAATTTAGTAGGCGTGCGTGCGGTCTGTTACTTTTATTAAAGAGGGGGTGCATCATATTGTCCGGTTCTTAAAACCACGAATGTTTTGTTTCTCTAAGCATTATAGTTTGACTTTAAGGATCTGAAGCTATAGTACTTTGTTTGGGCTACTTTTGTCCACAGAACATACTCATAACCATTTCCCAACTACCACCACACTTCCCTAGGTACTCCCCAGTCACACATGCATTGTTCTAAGGGCATTTTTGTCTTTTTAACCAACCCAAATCTAAAACTGGAAGAAAATTTGATATGCTCTCATTTAAAGTTTATATATATACATATATATATATATATATATATATTTATGACAAAAATTAAATTTATATAATAATTGTAATATTTTTATTTTACTATATTTATTTTTTAAAAATTTAAAAAACATATTTACCATTCATTTTTTCAAAGACTAAAGGAAAAAAATATTTTACAATTATCTTGAACTAATTTTTTTCATTAAAAATATTACAAAATAAATTATTCAAATAATTAAAACCGAATCCATGGCAAACTCCCGCACCCCGAAGCTCAAAAAAGCCCAATCCAATTCGATAATCACATAAAAAAAAATTTCGGTCTCACGCTATACACACCATAGTTCTTCAAAAAAAAAAAAAAAAATCACACCATAAAGAAATTATTCTTCATAAAATATGAACTCGTCACTCCATAAAATACTGCCACATAATAGTCATATGATTTTATTATATTTACTTTTTAAAAAATAAACTAAATATTCTAAAAATCATATAATTTGTTTATTTCTTTCTAGACAAATATGGTGAAGTATAATTATTATATTAATTAAACTTTTAACAAATAATTTACAAGAGATAACCAATCAAATCAATAAATAGACCCAAATCCTACTGGATGGTCCAGTCGCACCATTAAATACCCCAATAAAATAGAAAATGCTATAGGTACAAAATTTTCTACTAAATAAATGATCAGATGTCTCATACGAGTGTGAGTCTATAAAATTGCAGACCCTATACTCATGTAAGATATTTAGTCATTTATTTAGTAAAAATTTTGATATTCCTAACATTATCCCAATAAAATACAAGGTATTGTCGATTCAAGTAAACTAGCAATTGGGACATAATATGCAACTTGAAAAAACTATTCAAGAAATTGTACAAAAAAAAACCTAGCCAAGACATTATCATCAAAAAATATAAAACATGTGAATTAAATATATTCCACATGTAATCTAATGTGATATTAAATTTAAATCTATACCATATATATTTTTTGAACTCCCTAACTTATATAGTATGTTACGGATAATAAAAATTTTAATAAGAAAAATGATATACAAACATAAATTACGTACCAAAAAAAAAAAAAAACAATACTAGAGACCTCAAAAATTATATCCAAATGTCTCACACGGGTGTGAAATCCACATGAGTCCCACACCTATATTAAGACATTTGATAAAATTTTTAGGGTCTATCATTTTTGAGAAAAAAAACCAAACTAGTGAGTCAATAGCAATTTTGAAATAAAATCACTTTAATAAGCTTTAATTGAATGAATATTAATTTGACATTTATGTATAATTTTTTTTTATTTGTATATTATTACTCATTTCATAAATACTTTAGAAAAATATTATTGACATAACATTTTTATATATAATTTAGCATTAAAATAATCTAGCAATAGTATTTTTGTACTTAAATGCTATTTAAATAAAATCTTTGCATTAAAAGAATAAGTTCAAACGTAATCTTCACACATCTTCACTCTATTTGGTTTGGGGCTTCCAATACCCGTTGTTAACCGATTGATACTGTCCAAATTGAATATATCAATTCGTTACCCAATACGGCTATTGAGAGTGGTACCGAAAACAATTGAAAATGAATAATGCTATATGCACTAATTAGTATCAATTGATGATATGACATAATTTAAATTTTTTTTTATATTTATAATGTGATTAATGAATAGAATCAACAATAATATCATAATTAGTGTTGGTACACTAATTGATATATGTAATACAATTGGACAGAGGAGAGAAAGAGAAAAAAACGGACCTTGAGCTGGGCCAAAGCGAGGGGTGTCTCAGTGAGGAACTTGACGGCGAGAGTCATGATGGTGGAGGTTGTTTCATACCCTGCGACCAGCAAAGCCACCAAGAAATCCACTATCTCCTCGTCGGAGAACCCGCCTCCGCCACCCTCCTCGTCCATCAGTGCCCCCAACATGTCATTCTTTCTCTCTCCTCTCTCACTACTCTCTCTCCTCCTTTCCCTCACCACCAAGCTCAACGCCTCCGCGACCTTGCTTCTCGCCTTCAAAAACCCACAAAAATTAATCATTAATACCAAAAACTCATACAACTTCAACTTTCATTCTCACAAACCAAACAAACCGTGGTTACTTTTAGAGACAAACAAAACCAGGAATTGGCTAATTATGCTTTTGTATCTCTTCACATTTATCAAATTTTTAATTTAATTTAATTTCTTTACATTAAATTTAATTATTTACATTTTAAATCAAGTTAAACTAGACATTAATAAAGTGTACGGAACTTGTGAGTGAGCTCTTCACATATTTCTCATCTCTACCATCTTTGTATTTTTATAAAAATTTTGCTTTAATTTCTTTATTTTTAATATTTGTCAATCTCATTAATATTACATGGACTATAACTTTTAAAGTCTAAAATATTGACTATAATATAATTGAGTCACGTTAGAAACTTCAAATAAATTATCAAATGAAATGTCTAAAATATAACAATAAAACTAGGGTCTCAGAAATTTGGAATCCAGAATTAGCCAAAAATAGATATGTGTAGTGAAAATTAAATTGATAAAGTATGGAGTCCACATATAAAATGAATATGAATTATTGATCTGAATAATTTATGAATTTTTATGTCTGAATCCATAGTATTACTGAAAATATAATTGAGTAATATTAGAGATCTTATTCACCCAAAAAAATATTAGAGATCTTAAATAAAAATATTCTACGCAACATCAACATAATTGTGGGGCTCACACCACACTGAACCCACATAGATCCGTAGAATAATTAATATTAAGTAATTGTTTGACATGTTCAGTTTTAATCACGATTATTTTATTTAAATCACATCATTTTCTGTCAACTCATATTTTACTTTTTTTTATACTAATATGACACTTCCCAAACCACTCCTAAATAATATCTAAAAGGCAAGCAATTATTCATTATGTCACTAATCAATCTATCATTCATTTGTGTGGAACTCACATGAAATGAAACATATTTATTTGTGTGGAAACCACATGAAATCAAACAAATGGCTTCTATTTAGTTATGGCACATGGGGGTATTAAATAATTTTTCCAAAAGGGCACTTCCTTAAAAACAAGAAAGAATTGTAAGAATAAAAACAAGAACATACTTGGATGGCCCTGCGATAGGTGGAGGAGAAGAGGGGGAGAGGAATGGTGAAAAAGCCTTCAATGACGAGCATGTACTCCTTCCTTAGGCTCTCTGTCCACTCACATGGATCGAAGCTCATTAGCTGCTTCACTGTTAACTCAAATGTAATCTGCACAATCCAATAATCATTTATCACTCTCTTAATAGACTAATTAATTATATATATTTTTAATAGAACCTTCTAAGAATAAGCTGACCAAATATAAGAAAAGAAAAGAAATAGCCAAAAAGCATGAAGTATGGACAAATACTCATATATCTCTCTCTCTCTCTCTCTCTCACACACACACACACACACACACACACACACACACACACACACACACACACAGCCTATATGTTTTCATGCTAATAAAGCATGATATATATATATATAGAAAATAAAATTAATATAGAATGATATCTACAAATTAAAGACTCATAAAGTGGGTTTATATTTTCAGAAATAATGTTTTAAATTTGGTATGAAAATTATGTAAAAATATGTGTGAAGAGAAAGGAAAGAATAAACTCATTTTATGGCTAATAATAATCAACAATGTTAGGTAGCTCAAAATTTTGTGACTCAAGTGACTCAAATCACTCAAAACGACGTCGTTTTGACAGATTTTTAGTGTAAAACGACGTCGTTTTGACAGATTTAAGCCATTTAAACCATAAAATTTTGGGCTACCAAACATTTTCCAATAATAATTATAGAGAACATTAATATATATATTGTGGTGTTTTGAAAAATTGATAAAAAAAATTAACTTTTTGACTTTTTTTTTTTTATGACTTTTTGGGCCAAAAAAACAGGTTTATTTTTTGCTTTTTTTTTGTAACTTTTTTGTGTAAAAAAGTTAAAAAAACAAAAAAAATTTGACTTTTTTTTAGCTTCTTCCAAAAGACGCCATCGTGCTAACGTGCACCGTAAAAAAAAGCATGGAAATCTGACTCATCCTTAAATTCTCTAACGTGAATCATACCCACCATTTACGACACGCCATGAAAATGAAATGAATCCCTGCTAACATGCACCGACTAAACTAAATTGCGCCTCATGAAGTTGAAAATTGATTATTTTAACGATTTTTTTTTATATTTAATAAAAAAATGTATAAAATTTACTGTTTTGTTTCATTTATTTAAAATATATTTATTTTGAGTGTGTAAAAATTAAAAAAATATATTTAAAATATTAAAAAAATTAATGAAAACAAAAATTACGAGAAATAAAAAATTTCAATTTTTCAAAAAATAATCCTTCAATTCTGAATCTTTTTAACTAAAAATAAAGTCCGAAAACAGGCGTGAGTGTAAAGTAAATCAATCAACCTCCGGTTCATGACCGAGTTGACTCAGATGAGCTTTCATTATTATTTACCTTCTTGGCCTCTTCCATGAGCAAAACCCGGTCGGTCCAGGACTCCAAGTTGAGCCGAACCAACCGGTCGATATCAAGCATCAAATGGTCTCTGATGATTGAAGAATTAGCGAAACTCATAGTGAGAGAATGCATTCTCTTGTGAAGACTCCCTTTCATGAGCAAAAGCGAGTGCCTTCCGAGCAGGTTCGAGATCGAACCGGGGTAACTCGACTCGAACAGCTTGCCTTCGTTCTGGAGGATGAACCGGTTGGTTTCCGGGTCAGCGGAGAACACGGTCGGTTCGCCGAACACGTGGGTCGTGAAGATGGGTCCGAACTGGGAAACCCGGTCGTCGATGAAGGGATCTGGATTTTCGGACTTGTAGGCGGAGATGAGGTGGAGGGTCTCGCCGAGGAAGGGGAGACCGAGGGTGCCCGGAGGGAGGCGGAGGTGGCGGCGCGTGATGATGGAGGAGCGGAGGAGGACGAAGATTAGGAGAGAGAGGGAGGAGGAGAGGAGGAGGTAGAGAGAGAAAGTGATGGAGTCCATGATGAAGTTAGAGAGAGAGAGAGAGGGAGAGAGGGTTGGGAGGTTTAACGGAGCACACGGGTGGGTTATCTGCAACTAAAGAATCTAATAGGGTCGGAAGAAATAATGTCGGATATCTATCTATGGCCTCGTTTGAGAAGTGACTATATTTTAGTTTTTGACTATTTTAATAGCTTAAAATTTTTGTGTTTGAGAAGATGATTGGATTTTTTCATAGTTAGATGTGATGTTTATGATAGAAAAAGTGAAATAATTATAGGTTTGATGTGATATTTTGTCTTATTAACTATTTTAGCCTATTTTGTCTTTTTGTGATTTTTAGCCTAAACTAGGCTATTTTTTTTCTTCCCAAACACCCTCTCTCTCTCAACACAAGAAAAATTATTCAGTCGGTTTGGTTTGAATTTTTTGGATTAAATTTTTTGAAAATTGATTTTTTTAATTTTTGTATTTTTAGTAAATATTTTTTAAATTTTAAATATTTTTTATTTTTTTAGATGCATCTTAGTTAGATGTATCTAAAAAGTAAAAATTTTATGAAAAAATATTTTAAAAAATTAACAAATACATAGAAATATAAAAAATATACTGAATTCTTATATTTTTGGTATTTACTGAATTTTTAAAAGATTTTTTTTACAATTTTTTTTATTTTTTTAGGTATATTTATAGTAGGTGTGTCTAAAAAATAAAAAAATTACTTAAAATATTAAAAAAATTCAGTAAAAATAAAAAAAAATACGAAAAATAAAAAAATAAATTTTTTTGAAAAGTGTTTTCTAAAAAAAAAAACAAACAAGCTGATTTTTTTTTTTCAAAAATAACTAACAGCATTAAAAGTGGTGGTCTAATTGTACTAATGCCTTATTTATTTATGGAAAATGCTAGAGGTTTTAAATTTTCTACCAAATAAATGACCAAATATCTCACATGGGTGTGGGGCACCCATGTGAGATATTTGGTCATTTGTTTGGTAGAAAATTTAGTGTCCCTAGCATTACCCAAGGGGATCACTAAAGGGAGTACTAATGATGTGACAGTTGGCTCCGCCTACTTTCTATGCCTTGTTTTAATTTTTTTATTATTTTTTTTTGTCATTTTTAATATATTAATGCTATTAATGATATATTTTTTAGTGGTCTAAACTATTGTTGTTTTTTTTAGTAGTACGAATCATTGTTGCTCAGTACAAATATAAAAGGGTAAAGATATACTGTAGGCGATGATGGCTTTTATAAGGTTAGATAAGGTACTGTTTGGATTTAGATCCTCTTTTTATGGTTAAAATTTAAGGCTGTTTTTGGATAAGCTCTTTAAATACATTTTTATTCATTAATTTTAGTATAGTATTTGTTTTGAGTTTTAAAATTATAATTTCATATTTATTTTTTAAAATTCTTTTTTAGGTCGGAAAAGGAGGAGGAGAGGAGGAGGTAGAGAGAGAAAGTGATGGAGTCCATGATGAAGTTAGAGAGAGAGAGAGAGAGAGAGAGGGTTGGGAGGCTTAATGGAGCACACGGGTGGGTTATCTGCAACTAAAGAATCTAATAAACAATGATTCATCCCACTAAAAATATCACCATTAATAGTACTAATGCATTAAAAAAGTAAAAAAAAGAAAAAAATACAACTTTAAGACCAAAATATCACATCATTAATGATGGGACCCACTGCCACCTAATTAGTGGGAGCACTAATTAGTGCTCCCAAGCATTTTTCAAATCCAATAGGGTCGGAAGAAATAATGTCGGATATCTATCTATGGCTGGTTTGGGAAGTGGCTATTTTAGTAAGTTATTTTAGTTTTTGACTATTTTAGTAGGTTAAAATTTTTGTGTTTAGGAAGATGATTGGATTTTTTTATAGTTGGATATGATGTTTGTGAGAGAAAAAGTGAAATGATTATGGGTTTGATGTGATATTTTGTCTTATTAACTATTTTAGCCTATTTTATCCTTATGTGATTTTTAACCTAAACTAGGCTATTTTTTCTTCTTCCCAAACACCCCTCTCTCTCTCTCTCTCTCTCAACACAAGAAAAATTATTCAGTCGGTGTGGTTTGAGTTTTTTGGATTAAATTTTTTAAAAATTGAGTTTTTTAGTTTTTGTATTTTTTTATTTTTAGTGAATATTTTTTAAATTTTAAATATTTTTTATTTTTTTATATGCACCTTAGTTAGATGTATCTAAAAAGTAAAAAATTTGTGAAAAAAATATTTTAAAAATTAACAAATACATAGAAATACAAAAATATACTGAATTCTTATATTTTTTTATATTTTTGGTATTTAATGAATTTTTAAAAGATTTTTTTTACAATTTTTTTACTTTTTTAGGTATATTTATAGTAGGTGTGTATAAAAAATAAAAAAATTGCTTAAAATATTAAAAAATTCAGTAAAAATAAAAAAATACGGAAAATAAAAAAATAAAATTTTCTGAAAATTGTTTTTTTTAAAAAAAAAAAAGCAAGCTGATTTTTTTTTTTTCAAAAATAACTGAGAGCATTAAAAGTGGTGGTCTAATTGTACTAATGCCTTATTTATTTATGAAAAATGTTAGAGATCCCAAATTTTCTACCAAATAAATCACATGGGTGTGGGGTGCGGACCTCACACCCATGTGAGACATGTGGTCATTTATTTGGTAGAAAATTTGGTGTCCCTAGCATTACCTAAGAGATCATTAAAGGGAGTACTAATGATGTGACAGTGGGCCCCGCCCACTTTCTCTGCCTTATTTTTATTTTTTTATTATTTTTTTTTATCATTTTTCAATATATTAATACTATTAATAATATATTTTTTAGTGGTCTAAACCATTGTTATTTTTTTTAATAGTGCGAATCGTTGTTGCTCAGTACAAATATAAAAGGGTAAAGATATACTGTAGGCGATGATGGCTTTTATAAGGTTAGATAAGGTACTGTTTGGATTTAGATCCTCTTTTTATGGTTAAAATTTAAGGCTGTTTTTGGATAAGCTCTTTAAATACATTTTTATTCATTGATTTTAGTATAGGGTTTGTTTTGAGTTTTAAAATTATAATTTCATATTCATTTTTTAAAATTCTTTTCTAGGTCGGAAAATTTGGTTAATCCAGACGTCTAGCTTGTTGATCGAAATAATGTTTGGTTTTTTTTTTCTTTTTTTTTTCATCTGTTATTTTTATATTTTAAATAAGAAATATTTTCAAAAATTTTTAATTTTTTTTATGAGTTTTAAATAGGATTTTGGATTATGTGTTTGATTATGAGTTGTACGTTTTTAAATTAAATTTTATCTGTCACATCATTCATTTCAAACTCAATTCAAAATTCTTTTCAAAACTCATAACCAAACAAATTTTCTACACTCAAATCATAATTTCAAAACTTACAAACTCAAAATACAACTCTATTCTCAAATCATATTTAGAAAAATCTACCAAACACTGCCTAAATTTTTATTCCAAGGCATATAATTGCAAACAAAAAAATATTAGTAAAAAATTTAAAATTAATGGGCCGATTTATGAATATCACATTAATTTGTTGGGGGAGTTACGAGCCGGTCCTATGGACTGGTTTTATTATCTAGCAGGCTCTATTCAAAAAAATTAAATAGTGTTTTTCATTTTTACTCCTAGAGTTAACATTGCAACCCAACATCTGACCACCGTCTTCGTGAGAAACAAACAGACACTGATTAATGTTATCAATATTTACTAAGCCACTTAAATTATTTAGGAATTTTTATTGATAAAACTCATTTAGAAGTGTTCTAACTCAAAAAGTCTATGAAGGAATTTTTTAACCTACTTAATCTCATGTATTTATACTTTTCTTCCATAAAGTCATTTTTCTTGATTTACATTAATTTCTTAGACTCTTATACCCTTTTATTTAATGTTGATATTTAATGTTGGGGGAGGAGAGAGAATGGAAAGGACTAAGGCATAGGAAATTTCATACACAAATTAAATAACATTGATGTTATTGTTTTATATTATTATATAATATGAATATATTTTTAATTGAAAACACATTAAAAATAATATGAATATTCTCTCTCATCTTATGTGAATATATTTTTAATTGATAACACATTAAAAATAATGTAAACATTCTCTCTCATCTTATATGAACATTCACATTTACATTCACGTCATTACATATAGTTATGTTTTATATTCAAATGAAAGTTGAGGCTTGTGGTTGTTTAATTTGATGCAATGTTGATGTGAACCTTAACATCACATTTATCACAATGTTATCTGATGTGAACATTCAAGTCATCTGATGTCAACATTTCATTCACGTCATCTAATGTGAATATTCACATCATCACGTACAGTCAACATTTGACAATCAATAAAAAAATCATGTTTAATTTTTTGTGTGTAATATATATCAACATTAAATAGTGGTGTGTAGTTAATGTATTTTTTTTGGAGTGAAGATATGGGGAATAGGAATGGTCATGGGAACTACCAAAACATAATGACAATCAACATTAAATATCAACATTAATGAGGGTAAGAGAAATTGAGGGTGTTTTGGTCTTCTTACTTTAAATAAGACTTAATGGAATAGTCAAAAAGAATATGAGTTAGATGGAATAAAACTTTTAGAAAGGGAATTTATCAAAAAAGCTCCCAACTTATTCTTTCTCACTCTCATACTCACATATATACACACTCACTCCCTAATTCACAAAAACACATCCTCACACTTACTAATTCACAAAAATAAATTTACAATAATTTAGCAATGATAAATTTATCACTGATAAAATGTTATCAGTGATAAATTTCATCCTTACATACATGCACACTCACTTACTAATTCACAAAAACAAATTTACAAAAATTCAACAGTGATAAATTTGTCACTAGTTTAAATAAATTTATCACTGGTTTAAATAGATTTATCACTAGGATCTTCCCTAATATACAGAGAGAGAGAGGGAAAGAAGACCCGCGGGAAAGAGCCTAGATCCTAGATCTATAGGTGGAGGCAACGACGACTATAGAGGTGGAGGCGGCAGTTGTCGGCAACGATGGTAAAAGTGTAGGCAAAGACGT